TATATATATATATATTATATTAGAACGATCTTTGAGAGAAACGATTTTTCTCTATACCACAGTCAAACTTTATAACAAGTATGATTAATGATTAGCATTAACATGGATAGATGCCACAGAAAAACTTTGGTTTTAAATTTCACTAACAGTTCAGATAAATTAGATATAAATTTTAAGAATAAAACTACGCGCATTCACGATACTGATGCTATCGAAATTAATCCGATATATTCTGTCTTTGTATTTAAATATATAATCAGCTTTTTATCGCGTGATATCGATATCTTGTAATAATAATACACCATCGCTATCACTACTATATTTTACTAATTCTGTGTATTTATTGAATTTGACAGAAAATTATTAGAATGGCGCTCGTTTCAAATACTCTAGTCCATCTGGTCAGTCTGATGATGTACGGTTTCACTCTATTCTATGCCTTCACCATCTTACATATTCCTATACTCGGAAAAAGATTTGAAAAGTTTGATCCTGGTCAATTCAAGTACTTAACGATGTGGGATGTGGTAAGTTGTATATCTTTTTTAATTGTAAAAGATTAATCTTTCTTTCTCCTTGTGTGAATAAAAAAAAACAATATGTATAAAATATAAAGTATATAAATACAAGTGTAAAATTAATAGGCCAAGAAAAGTAGTTGATAAATAAATACATCGATTATATATTATGGATACTTAAATAATAATCTAAGAATTTTTTGTTTTATGTGGAATATAACATTTTTTTGTTTCTATACTAACTTGCGTTTCATCAGCCACAATTAAAATGATGTATATATGAATTATAAATATTTAGGTCAATAGTATAAGTTATCTAAACCTGATTAAATTGATAAATATAACGAAGTTTGGTAAGACCATACATAAGGCTAAAATTATATTTTTTTTATTTTTAACATAATATAATGATAATTCGATTTGCGCGATAACAAAAATCTTTCTCTTCTTCTTATCAATATTATTAACTCACCCATGTAACCGTGAAGGAGAGTGTGAGAGTTGAAAGATTAAAATAAAAAAAATGATTAAAAATTAAATGTCAACGTATTGTTAAATAAAATCGTACAACGACAACATTGGACAAGAAGTAGCAGAAAAAATTCTTGTCGTAAAATAATTAATTATTGTCACTGAACACTCACTATCACATAATGAAGTTAATGAATCTAATCAAAAAATCAAAAGCAAAGCAGAAAATAAAACTTTTTCTAATTGTAATCTCTTATGTTCTCAATGAGCGAGATAAGTTTTAATTGATAGCTGACTTTACGACAATTAAGCTTTTATAAATATTGGATTAACACCAAGTGCGCATGTGCCGAAGTCTATCTTTGCGAATTATTTTAAAAAATCTCGAGCAATGGAAAATACATCTTGTCTAATAAATCAGTGTCCTGTATCACATTCAGAATATTTTGTTGTTGTTTAATCTTTTGTAATAATTAGGCTCATAGTCCAAAATTTCTACGTTATTCCAGTCCATAACGTAGTGTGTAAAAGAATGTGCTGAGAGATAACTGATTGTTTGGACAGATGTGCTGTTTTATATTACACATATGTTCGTTGATTCTGGTTTTCACAATAATCTCTTGGTTTATCCAACATAAAATGCATTGATTTTTACATTTAAGTTTATAAATGACATTGTTATTGTTTGTTGAAAGTGTAATGTTTTTATGTATTTTTATTATACACGGTTTAGGCATTTAGACTCGGTTGAAACATTTAAAATCAATGGCCAGGTTGGTCGTCTGAAAAGCGCTGCCCACGTATTCCGATAGTTCTTTGACATACAAAAATACAATAAATATTTTGTTATTGTTTTTCTCATCTTATACAGATTTAATTTCGTGGCAAAAAGTTTTTTAAATCTGATATTGATGTATCTGTGTATGAGAGGTAGAGATAAATAGACAAGATATTTCCTTGAACTTCTGAAAGATAAATCACCTAATAATAGAAAGATAAATCAATTTGATCGGGAAAACATTTTTTTTTTTTTTTTAGTTATAAAAATCTTATCTCTATGGCAGAGATTTGCAAGAGATTTACCTAGCAAGGTTAGAGCTCAATTTCTACTCAAATTGATCGATTGGAATATGAAATGGAAATTGAGTTCAAACGATTCTGAATAGGCTCCCATATCAATTCTACCAAATGTTGTTTAATTAATTCTTGAATCGATCATCCTTGAGTTCTGCATATGACATACATACACGCGCAGGCGAGATCATACGTGTGTATGTAAAATTTTATACAATTTTTAGTGATCTATTAGCTTAAGATCATAAAAAATAATTTAACATTGACCAATACAATCAGCAACGGCAGAATTATAATATACATTGTTGTAAAATAAAAAATATATTTAAATTATATTACATGCATAAAAAGGACTAAAAAAAAAAATTAATATTTGAGAAATTAATTATTACATGCTATAACAATTTTTTTATTTGTTCCTTGCTTTTTAATTGTTTCAGATTTTTAATAAAATAGATTATATAATTATCAAAAACAGTTTTTTTAGATATAAAAAATTATAAATAATTATAAATCTTAAATGTATACGGCAAAATTTAAAATTTGAATAATTATCGCGGAGATAAACAAGGAATTAATTTTATAACTAATAAATAAGTAATTTATAAATTGCTTACCCCATAGTTGCTCCGCTATCGCTCAAGGCAGACCATCTCTTTTTTTCTTGTTTGTTTTTTTCTTCGTGGCACCAACATGACACTCACTTGCGAAAACACGGTTGATTATGATGGCGTCACAACAATCACTATAGAATCGTGATGATTGCACGGTACTTTACATGGCATTTCCGATGTTAATCACATGGAACTCACACTTTATTATATTGCAATATATCGGTAAAAATTATGATCCGCACGCAAAAGCTACGATCTACTTGAAAATCGTATGTCCTTTATGCGCCACTCGCCATTTTTGCTATTTCAATTATCGGTTATGGCTATGCTAATACTAAATGGTTAACAAGAATGGCAAGCAAGTTTAAAAAATACAGGTAATTATAAATATGGTTTATCAATTAAATATATCATAATGTCATTTAAGTGGAGTTGATCCATTTATACGAGAAATTCGAGAGTAACTTGGCAACTATTGCGTGATACTAGACGAATCGAATTAGTAGCTGATTAATACGCGATAATCATTGAGAATTAATTAATCGCGCAGGTCCATAACAAATATTGTAGTGATTGTAGAAAATAATCGCTCTGAACATCTTGCTAGTACTTGTTGCGATCGCGTCTCAAGAGATAATATGACGACATACGTAGCGTCCTTCCCACTCGAGCCTCGCTGTATGAATGACAACTAGGCTTTCGATTATGTAACTTTTTCCCTAAAACGAAAACGTGAAAAGAAAAAATGTTCTCATTAATTTCAATGATAACATTTTCCACTTTTCAAGGGCATTCCCGCTCTAAAAAAAAAAGTTACATGATCGAAAGCCGAGCGAGGTGAGCGCGCTAATAAAAACACCGTGATCATGTCCTTGACATCATGAAACATTTTACATAATACGAAATACGTAGACGTATACGTTATATTCTATTCTTTAAATTTGTAGTGAATGATTGATAAACGGATAATTTTCTCATAAAAGACGTCGCGCAGATTGAATTATCTGTTACCAACCAGTTAATAAATCTCAAATTATCATCAAACGCTTTCAAACGACGCATTTGCACACTTAAATAAATTGTGAATTAAACTTATCTGAAACGATATCGATAAATTAGCGCAAACGTGATAATAAAACGATGTTGACAACATATAATAAAAGTGTAATAAATTTCAGTTAGCTATTGATGGAAAAAAAAAGAGTTTTTATTAGTTCTTATCAAACATATTAGCATGTTAATCGCTTTTTTTTATATTATGTTTTAACGTTAACTCGAGGAAATTGAAAATATATCTTTATAGTTGTGTTAGCGATTTTATATTGTATAATTCCAAGTCACTATAGAAAATCGAGATATAGACCTTGCCCAGAATGGTAAATTGATCTCCTTCTCTCTCTGTTTCTCCCCTTCTAAGTCTCTCAGAAACAGATTTATTAGAAGATGATCTAATGACAAATAATTTTCCACATGCTATATAAAGAAAAAAAATCACATTTTTGTTTATTTTTAAATATTAAAACTAAAGAGATATCGAAGAAATATAAGAACCATTAAAAAAAGGGGAAGAAATTGCAGAATTCCAATAAACTGCAGATTGAAAAGACACGCCTACATTCGAAGGAGATATACACTTAAGGTCTGTAAATAGCAGTGGAGACGGACAAAATCAATATTTGATCATGAGTCTATATCAATGTTTATATAATCGCACAAACCGCTTCTTATTTCACTTTATGACATATACCTCTTTTAATAAAAAAAGAAACTAATTTTTAACTGATTGTGAGCTTACTTAGATCATAAATATGCTCAAAATAGACTCCAGCCCCGGTAAAAGACGATGGGTGTAGGGTACCCGGAATAACTAAATCCATTACTGGGGATGTTCTCCCTTCCATCATTTTCTCCTGAACGCGACCGCATGAACTAGTGCCAAACGCACGCACGCTGCGGTCTTTTCTCCCTTCCCTCTCCCGCCGTTTTACTCCATTGTCCGTCAGTAAGTCGCGAACCGCCGACACGAGTGCTTCAGGGAGTGTTTTCATGCGACCACGTGAAATCTGACAGAATCTCACGTTCCGAAAGAAAAAAAAAAAAAAAAAAAAAAAAAAAAACAAAAAAAAAAAAAGACAGAAAGACAGCTACGTATTGGCCGCTCTAAGAATCGAAGCGCGCGTTTTCCGCACCAAGTAAGGGTAGATCGATCGACATCCAGAGGTCGTCGAGACGGCTTGTAGGCCGATTAAAAATAGGGTTCTCTTATTCTCTATCTCTCTCTCTCTCTCTCTCTTTCTCTCTCTGTCTTCCTCCTTTTGTCTCTTTCTCGCGGTCGTGTCGATGGACGACAATAAATGCGGAAAATTCGGTCGTTTTTCCCCACGCGTATACGGCAGACAAAGCGTTGTACAACAATCTCACGCGATGAATTCAGATCCCGGCGATATATTGTCGTGTCTACGCGCAATAATAATCTCCACGTTTGTCATTTACACGAACAATTTTCCCGTACTTTTTGACACATGGAAAATTCAGCCACGTTGAGACTTCCGGTCTCGAAGAGTGGGATGGGGTGGAGGTTATGTGTCCGCGGACACGCCGCGTCCGGTGGCATCGTCCGAATTCGCCCGCTCGATTGTCGAGCACCGCGATTCTGCGGCGTGGCGTCGCGAAGTCGTAGCGCGTGGGCGGCTGTCGCCGGGAGCCGGGACTCGGCCGCCCGCACTACGATGCGACGTAGTACGACACGTGACACGTAGCCGAGAAACTGGCGCGCGAAGATTCTTTCTCTCTCGAGAAACAGGTGACCTGGACAAAATACGAATTTACCTCGCAAAGTTTATTCGAGTTCGTAATCTTTACGGGCGGGAAGATCGAAGGGGAGAAACATTGGAGAATCTCTTCCGTTCCCCGGTTATTTTGTGTTTTATTTCATTCTAAAATTCGATTTGATTACGAATGTACGGAGCTTTGTTTACAGTGCAAACACAAGCCTGTCAATGACCTTCGATCTTTAAAACAAAAGTAAAAAAAAAACATTTTGAAATTATTTGTTCTTATAATTCATAACTTCAGAAGTCAATATCTCTTGAACGAAGTTTTTGCGAGCATACTACCAGAGGAAAATTTTTTCTTGTCTTAAGGTCCTAAATTCATATTTCAAGTTTGGCCATTTAACCCGGGAACACCCTGTATATTATTATTGTGTTGTGTTTGGCACTGTAAATTTCATAAATCTTTAGGATGCTTGAAAAAATTACTTACACTAGAAAAAGAAATTAAATAAGAGTAACACAAAAAGATATATTTTTTAGTTAATTAAAACGGAAAAGGAGAATAAAAAAATGCACGATTTATTATATAGTAGTATTTATCTGAAAAAATAAAAAATATATATCGTTATCAATGTGTTTGCAACGTTTGCACGTTATCTTTTGATGATTCATGTTTTAAATTCGCGTTGTTAACGCTTGCAGTTCAATTTCATCGTAAAACAAATATAATAGTTCAAGTTATAATGTGTTTTTCTTCTTTATGAAAAGGAAAACAAAAGAATTTGACTAAATGACTTAAATCGTATTCTCTGCATATATAACACAAAAAATGCTGTTCTTTTCATTAATATACTTTTATGCAAATGCAGATTATAAATAAAAAAGAATGCAATGGTTAATAATAATATTCATACGTTTGTATTTTTCATACTTTTTATATTATTTTTGTAAATGATATTTATTATATATTTATATTTCCACCTATTAACTATTTCTCCGCTATTTTTATTTGTATTTTTATTTTACGTAATCGTAATATTTCTTTGATCATATATATGGGAATTTTTTCCATTTATTTAAAAGTTTTTTAAATATTTTTTTACGTCATTTTGCTGTTTCAACCTACTATTTATTTGCAATTATTTGCGACATGCTCTTTAACTGATATACGACTCTCTAACAGACAGCAACACCACAAGTTGACAACTTTTGATCGACAGCACGCGCATCCACAAAGGTATAACAGAAATAAAACAAGTATCGGATAACAATGTATCGACGATCACAGAGTAAATGCCATTCTCGAGAGGATAATCATGTTGGTCCAGATTCGCGATCCGTGAACTAAAAAATCTCTATCGCGCAAACTGAATTATGTAACTTATTAATAGGTAGGAACGGGTCACCTAATATTTCTTTTAAGCGCTCCACATTCCATATTAAATTTGTGAAAGGGAAATGCTCTATTAATTTCACGCTTCGACAGCACGGTTAAAAGAAAGACCTACAAATGGGTGAGCCCCGATGACCCAGTAAAAATATATGGCGAATATTAGGTGTGAGTTGAATTTATCAGAGACTTTACACAATTGCGTAAAATCGCTTTTGTAAATGAGATTTCAGCTAATATCAGCGCAAGAATTTAATTTTCAACGAGTTTCTCCGAATTCCGAGCTATTTTTCTGTTTTTTATCTTTATAATTTAATACACTCTGGCATTTAAATTCACTTTTAATTACTTCCTGCTATACATTTCCTTTAAATCTTTTACTCTCTTTTTCTCGCTTAATTTTCGATATACTTTCAATAATCGCACATAGTCTTCATATCTTTATTTGATCATTAAATATTACAAATATATTTTTTATACTTTTTTATAATCACGGTCCGTCAGAAAGTTTCGCTGAATTAAGGTTAATGCTAGTCTATTGTAATATACTTTGCGCTTGCTCAAAGTGCTTTTACATTGTGTAATGCGATTAACAGCAACATTTAAGCGAAAGATAAAATGCTTCTTGGTTCTCGTCTAAGGTATTGTTTTACGAGTATATTTAGTTTACAATGTTTCATTCCCATTTCATTCTTCGTGTATCGAAAGTAAACGCAAAACTTTTCACTTATCTTTTTTCCGTGAAAAAGAGTACAAGATAAAAATCGAATGAAAAAAAGAGTACAATGGTAAGAAAATAAAGAATATCATATTTTCTTGAGCTCATTAAAAAGACAGACTTTTATACAAAAGTATATCAATTTTGTCTATGTAATATAAAATAAATATCAATATCGGTGTATTTTTATGTATTTTAAAATCTTATTCAAACAAGATTGTCGAGATTGAAGCACGTGTAAGAATCAAATTGGGGAAAAGAAATTCACCGCATGATTTATGTGAATTATGTGAAATTGTATGAGGAGAGAAATCGCGTTTGATACATTATAAACGAAAGCCGCAATTGTTAGCTTTCCGGATTAATCGACACGTTCAAAATTTCACCTTTACTTAATTCTTCCGGATTGCGAATGATGTTTATCTGCGATATAAATCAACTGTTATTTAAATCATCAAAAGTCACGGACGGTTACGAAATTTTCTCTGCAATCTTTTTTTGATGATTCATTTCTTTTTGTAGCCGTGAAAAAAGGTCGCAGTGAGTTGCTTAGTTATGCCGGCGATACCTGTAATATGTAAGAAAGAAAAAAATCTGCTGAGTATATATATATGTATATATATATATATATATATATAAAATAAATTATACATATACATAGCGTGAAAAAGATAGTAATAAAAGCGAAAAGAAAGGATTCCGTTGTGAATCATAGAATGGAAAACAAGTTTAGATCTGTTTACTCATATGTAGAGCCTTTTTTACAACCGGGTACTTAGTTACGTATAAATTATGTAACTCGACTATATACACTCGCTTGCATAATGTACGCACGTGTTGGGAAATTATCAACTGAAACTTTCCATCTCTCCGAACTACCTTTCCTTTACATATTCATCACTTTGATAAGATTAACATGCACTTTTGATGACATTGTAACAAATTGCTACGATAATTGAATTAAATAACAAATCGCGTCCATCGACCTCGATACCGACTTCGATAAGTCACTTGCAAAAAGTATAAGAGTTTCGAAGCTAAAACTAGTGCAAGTAAAAAAAGATTGTGTGCAACCAATACGAGAAATAAAATATATAAACTAATTATCTTTCTTTATTGTATTTTTTTTTCAATTTTTCGTGTATATTAATATTTCAATCAGAGATTAAATTTAGAGAGCACAAAATAAGATGACATATAAATATACAGTGAATATATACTTACGAACGTAATTGTGCCTGCAAAATTATTTTATTATTTATCCTAATCTTAAATTTTTACATAATCAGATTCAAAATACTATGTTTAATAAATAATTGCCTAAATCTTTGCTCTCTCAACTGCATTTTTCATTATTACAGCAATTTCTTGGCGTACGTTAATTTTCTAAAGAGAAGGTGTGTTAAAATAAGACAACTCTTCTTTGGAGGACTTATAAATATACGTCAAGGAATTGCTGCAATGTTAGCTGGCCATAGTAATGGAAAATGCGGTTGAAAGAGTAAGAATTTGCAAGTACCGTCTAGACAACCGTTTATTCAATGTATTATTTCAAATTTATTGCTACTAATATAATGCGCGATAAATTAATGCGTTCGTAAATACATGTTTTTACTATATTACATATTTACATATAAATCTATATTTTAATAATATTTTAATTATTAGCAAATATGCGTATTATGTCGGTCTTCCCTTATTGCTATCAGACGTAAAGATTTCTCGCGGCTTATTATCGTTGGATCTGAAAGTTTCAATCCGAATGATTCTAACATTACGAAATGGGATGATTTCGTAAAAAAAAAAAAAAAATGTATGTACACGCGGACACTTGTATCTGCTTCCTACACTCTTGTTTGACGATTGATGACATCGTCGAGTATCGTCCAAAGAGATAATTACACGTTTCAGACTAGTCGCGAACAGCCGTGAGATGCGAGAGGGCCTAGCAATCGGATTCCATGCGGTTACTTTCCTGCAGTTCGCTTTCGCGGTTTTTTACGATTACACGTATACGATTGTGCCGTACAATGTCACGAGGGTGCACGGCGCTTTCGGTGGGAAGTTCAAGTTTCTAACGTTCTGGGATGCGGTTAGTATCGATGTTACAAGTTACACAAGCTTAGTGCGCCGTTTTAATTGATGAAGTTATCCTTTGGTGTCGATACATGTGCACGTTACACACAGAAATAGTCACATACACACACGCATTCACACGGATACATAAATGTGTTTTTGCATTTATCTTTCTCATTGATCTTTTTGCTACTGCAGACAATGAAATTTCGTTGTGACGATTGTCGAGAGAAAGAAATGTTCCCCGTAATGGAATTTTCATGAAATTGTTATTAGGATTGTTGATAGGATTCAATCGCGATGTATGTGTATCGATATACGTAACGAGATCTCGACGCAATAATCCGAATTTAATTAAAAACCTGGTCAAGTTTGTCAGAACGAGATTTCATTGCAATGAGATTTTATTCTCTCATTGTTATAGCTTGGTCTTTAAACTTTATTTCGGATCGTGTGTGTTTATACAGGGTGAGTCATTTTAATCAACGCACGCAAATATCTCGTAAAGTAAGCAAGATGGAAAAAAATGTTTTATACAAAAGTTGTAGGGTTCAGAGGGGGACACATGATGAAAATATGAACTTGACCTTGAGTGACCTTTTCAAAGCCAAATCAATGTGATCGATATTTTCTTAAATGGAACCCCCCATACCATCTTGCTTACTTTACGAGATATTTGCGTGCGTTGATTAAAATGACTCACCCTGTATATATTTACACTCTTATGTATTTTATATCTCCTACATAATATATTTAATATATAAGGCAAATAACGTAAGATATTATAATTCTAGAAAATATTAGTATATGTATAGCTTCCAGCGACAATTAGATCTTTAGACATCTTTTTTTTTTTAGAGAACAAACTTCTTGCTCGTTCGTATTTTTGTAAAAAAAAAATATTACTTTCTGCATCTTTCATGAGGTAACCATCATACGTTGATGAGAATCTACTATTCCTCGCAAAAACTGATTCTCTGCGATTGTATATCCAGTAACCACGTGCAATGTATCTTTATTACCATGTTATGCAATAGTGAAAACCGACACGTCTATCTAGTATACCTGACGCGTTCATAAAAATCACAAACACGGTGATATAATATTCTTCAAGTCGGACAAACGAAGAAAACGAGATACACTCATCTATGATTATCGGTGAAATCGAGGGAATTACGTACAGAAGAGTTTCTCTTTAAAAAAAAAAATATGGCCCTTCTATTCTATAACCTTTTTTTTAACAAAAAAATTTTGTCTTTAGTTTGAAAAAAAGCGTGCAAATCTCATTTATTGCATCTTATGCGAGAAAAAGGTTTCCGTGCAATTCAGAAGGAAGAAAAATTATTAAAAAATAATTATCGTTGAAATGGCTAAAAAATTCTCTAAAAAATCTCTAAAAATTTGTAGAGATATGACACGTCTGAATGAAGGAATGCACAACGTATATTTAATACAGATATATTGTAATTATTTATTTTTTTAAAATCAATAACGCATGTCGAACATTAAAAAAATGTATTGTCGGAAAAATGGAATGAGCAGCTCTTATTCCACTCAATTTGTTCTGTTGAACCAAAAGCGTGACTCTACATTCGACGAGATTATGTTCAAGCATTTTGTCACTTATCGTCGCGTGAGATGACATACTCTCAACCATTTCACGCTTAAATTGCCGCTATCATGCCGCTCGTAAAGAGCAAAATTCAATTGTTTAAGCACCACTTGATATTTTGCAGTCAACAGGAGGCACGCGTCACACAAGACTGCTTATGTGCAACGTCAATCGATCGATAATTACGCTCAAATGCTCGCTTTAACTCGAATTAATCTTTTCACTTAGCAAAATGAGAAAAAGCAATTTTCGTATCGTCAGATCTAAAATTTTTAGATTAATGAGTTTTCTCCGTTTGCTTTGCAATTATTAATAAGTATGCAATAAAAGTATTCAAATAAGGCATTATAATAATTAAAAAACTTTTTCTGTAAAATTTTTGCTCTTTACTCTCAAAGGACCTCAATTTCATTAGATGCTAATTAGTACAAGTAGTTTAATTGATATCAAGGACAGCGTAGATAATGAGGTCACTTCCTCTTGTGCTATCAACAAGTTAAAGCCTCACTTGATGGAATTGCACACGACGTACGTCATGCATTTGTGACTGACACGTAATGGATTTGAATAGATAGCGTAAAATAAGTCTTTGGAACAATATTCAAAACGTCAATATTAGGTGTCTAAACTCACTTGTCTAAACGTCTAAAAATCGTATACGTGATAGAATAATACATGAAAGGATAGAGCTCGTGATATTTTATATCTTATTATCGCTTATATGATATTTTATGCAATATAGTCAATATAAAGGAATTAATATCTATTAAAAATAAGGAAATAAACGGTATAATATTTATTATACAGATATCAAAAATTAAAAAATATCTAAAGTGAAGAAAAGAGATGTAAAAAATTCAGTCACGTACAATATACAATACATATATATTAACAATGTATGTAATTTACATGTATGTTAATTATAATATGTGACTACTAATTACAAATTTGTATTATCCGTGTGAAATATTTTTAATCAAACGACTCGCGCATCAAGTGACATTCAAATATATATATATATATATATATATATATATATGCTAAACTACGCAAATAATATACTAATATTGTAAGTGATAAAATATATGTTTACAGTAGCAGCTTACACATGCCTAAACTGATTGTGAGCAAATAGTCTTCGTCATTCATGCATGCTTATTTCAAGTATAAAGAAGTAAAAAAAGAGAAAACCGTTTGCACATGTTCATTTCTTTCGCAGTCTGTTTGACTTTTGTATTTGACCAATTACACACTCAATTTTCAGCTCGGTTTATTAACATATCCAAACCGATCTTAACGACAAAATCACTGTCGCTTATATATAGTTGCCCCAATAATATTAATTGGACCATATAATTAGTTTCAAATAATATTTTTATGCGCGACCCTCTAACTATATACTGCGTAGAGATTGTTAAAAATATTTATTGACTCATTAATTGAAGCAGCTTGAAATGTCAATTGTGTTCTAGATTCTACAAGCCGTATTCTTTTTAATATGTCTCTTGAACGATTTCTACGGTACGAATGCCGTAAACCCCAAGAAACCACCTTTAGCACGAAAGTTGAAGGATTACTTCCATGCGAGTCTCGGATTTCCCGTCGCCATGGTAAGTAATAGTTAATCTTTTTTTTCCATAATATTGTATTTACGTCAAAACTTGAGAACGGAAAATATCAATAGTTCAACTCCAATGAAGAAGAAAAGAAAAATACCATCTTATAAAATGGATAAACCTATTAATAAACCTACTTATTGTTAGTAAATCTACTATGCGATCGCAATTTAAATATATCAATAATATTACTTTTGTTATTTAATGTAGTTTCCGTTAAAAATATTTTCGTAATTCTACGAACGAATGTACGTATGCGCTGCGATAATGCAAATATAATCCATCTTTAATGCATTTAAACAAAAACATAGTTATAACATATAGATATATTTTTTCAATTAAAAAAATCATTTTTTATCAAAAATTGCATTAATTTAATTATTTTAAAAGGTGTAGAAAAAATATTCGAAATTTTGATATTTTTTAAATAGGGAATAATTTTACTCTGTCTTCTCTATACAGGGTGTTCTTCTCGGTTTCATCTGCTCTACCTGCACATGGCGGGTGATCCGCGAATTATGGGACACCCTGTATAAGTATAATTAATTATGCATTTACCTGCATGTAAAGTAAATAAATCATCTGTATAAACGGATGATTTACTCTCTATACTTATTTTTATATAAATATAATTTGCTATCAAATGTATCATTTATCAAAATGACGTTTCGATAAAACGTAATTCCAATTCTGTCACATCTCGCAGTTCGTTGGCGTGACCTTCTGGGCATTGATGTTCGTGGACCGTGAATTAGTATTACCAAAAGCATTGGACCCGTACTTTCCATGGTGGTTGAATCATTTAATGCACACGATGATTATGGTGACGACCGTGTTCGAAATGATTGTCGCACCACGACAATATCCCAAGCGATCTCGCGGCCTCGGAATACTCGTGGGCTTCATGCTCGTATACTTAATCTGGTAAGTGAAACGAATCCGTATATCCGGCCTGTAATAACGCGTTACGCGTGTATAAGTATATTGGAATACTTTAATAACTTTATACATTTAAATAAACTAATACAGGCTCTTATTAATATATTATACGAAGGAGACAAAAGGCAATCGAGAACCAGCGCGGTAATTTATGCGTATATATGTTTTATTATAATCAAATTACATTGATATTTTAACTAAGTGATAGATACAATCACAAAAAGCGTACGTTTCGGTCTTTTTTTGGGCCATCTTTAGCGCAATTTCAAAATATATGGAATATATTATATCAAAAATGTAATAGTAATAATATGCAGAACAAGAGTGAGTCACCCATGTTGTCAGAAGGTAAATGTTGTATAATGGAATTTCAAGACAGGAAGAGACTGTCCGATAAAATATACTACATTAAAAAAAAAGTAGTATATTTTGTAATATATTTCATCGGACAGTCTCTTTCTGTCTTGAAATTCCATTATGCATTCCATTATTTATCTTCTGACAACATGGATGACTCACTCTTGTTCTGCGTATTATTACTATTATATTTTTGATATAATATATTCCATATATTTTATAATTGCGCTGAAGATGGTTAAAAAAAAAAAAGATCGAAACGTATGCTTTTTGTGATTGTGTCTATCATTTAATTAAAATATCAATGTAATTTGATTATAATAAAATATAAGCGCACAAATTACCGCGTTGGCTCTTGATTGCCTTTTGTCTCCTTCGTATGATTTATATATTTAACTTTTTAATAACTCTATACGTAATCATGTGGAGAGAACAAATTGAAGGAAATATTAGGCTCGGGAGAGAGTAATCCCGGTCACGGTTAGATGACAATACAACGTAATAATTTTTGTTAACAATTTTTTTTTTTTTTTTTTTTTTGAGATTGCCTATCCTACATTAAAACTGCAAGACAAGCCTTCTTATCTTGCAATCATATATGTATGCTTATTTCGATTCGACAAGATGCCAGATAAAGTGCATATTCACCACTGTCTGCTTATGTTTTTCAATTTGAAAAAAAAAAAAACGCAGACGAAACCAAACGATTGATTTGTGAGGTATTTGAGAGGTGGTTTAGATGCTTCAGAAATGGAAATTTTGACCCCGAAGACAAACTGCGTCTTTGTCGGCATTGATTTTGTCGGCGCGGGAATTTCCGGCTAAAAGATGGCAGAAAGTAATAGGTTCAAACGGCAATTATTTTAATTTAAAAAAAAATGTTCTAACCATTTCCTCTCTTAATACATATTTTTCACAAAAAAATCCAGATTACTTTTTTCCCAGCCTGATATATACAGAGTATCCTCCATACATAAGACGAGTTGTATTTATCGAACAATTCTAAAAATCTCGACAAATTAAATGTCCACGTAATCTAAATATGTTGCATTATCTTTCAGGATGCACGTAATTTATTACAAAAGCGGCATCTGGGTGTACCCCGTGATGGAAGTGTTAACACAGCCGCTGCGGATCCTATTCTTCGCGGTGCTGCTAATGTTTTGCACGATTCTATACTTCGTCGGGGAGACGCTGAACAACATCGTCTGGGGTAACGAACACACTAAGCATAAAAAATCTCATGCCAAATCTAAGTAGCCTCGCCCAAGCGGGTGATTCCTAACCGGGTGATGAACCGTATTTGCGTTCTTGCCTGCCGTCTCTGCGGTGGTGGTGAATAAAACAGAATGAAATTTTTCTTTTTTTTTTTTCTATACGCCTCCGTTGCAGCATGCACGTATATATTATATTATTTATCGATATTAAACGTGTCATTTAGAATGTTAGCGTTGTGTATATGTATGTGCATGCGAATAGCGCGCATTTATTTAGGGTGTAACGGGATGAGGATAGCGCGTTAACCCGGCACGGTGGAAATAACATATGTAAGTGAGCGAACGCATGTGCAAGATGTAATGCATTTCTATTTATGTGTGATCACGGACAAGGGAGACTAATTTCCTGTAGGGGTGTCTTTTCTTTCTTTTTGCGCGCGCGTCAATCGAATCAAAACGATACACGCACCTCTCATATCAATATTTTCCCCCGTCCCCCACGACAATACTTATTTTTGTACTTTCGTAGAGCGAGCGATCTATTATATTATTGTGTTTATCTGCCAAATAAAGTTAATGTGGTGCACGGAGAATACTGTGTGTATAATATATGCATATAATGTGTACAATATAGCGCGTACAACGCAACACAAACTTGCCCGATCTAAAGTCCGGATATATTTGTGATCGAGTGTAGGAAAAAAATACGTAGCGGAGAACTTGGAACCGGATTTGAAAACGTAGAAACACCCGAGAAACGGACACAAGAGGAATCTTAAATATCTCTCTCTCTCTCTTTCTCTCTATCTGTCTGTCTGTCATAATATACCGGTCACATCCGAAGATAACATCGTCGAAGACATTTTCTTGCTACAAGTGAGAAAAGTGCCTCGGCGAGACCTATTATTAATTTATGGGACGAAGATTCAACTTTCCGATATTGACGTAAATATATTCCATATATGATTATTGGTTTAATTCAGCGACGTATTTAGTGATATATGGCCTAAATATCAATATTGAGTATCGATATTTTTTTAGAAATTTTATTAAATTAATTCAGTGGATGAGCCTTTCTCGATATTAATTTCTTTGTGCCAAAATATAGTATTTAAATCAGACGTACGTTATTACACGCGATAGCTGCTAAAAGTATGCATTGTTCTCTGTGATTGGATATCTTATAATAAAAATGTAAACGATGATAATTTTATTCCAAATTTTGTTCCTCTCGAAAAGACGGAAAAGTAAGATGTATTTAATGTAGTAATTAATTTTAACACATACACATTGGAAGAAAGCAATATACATTTTAGAATTATATATACATATATATACATAATAATAGAGCGTTTTGAATAGAAACACACTTAAGAAAATATAAGAAAATATGAGAATAGTAAAACTAAATTTTAAAAATGCGACATGTACATACACACACACACACACACACACATATACAGATATTCCATATATCTGTAAATATATTGATAATTACGAAATATATATGAAAAGCAATGATAAAAAAACACAGTTTATAATTAAGTAGCAAGTTTCATTAGAGACATTTGTCAGCAGAACGCGATTTCTAGATTTTCGTATTAGCAAAAAATAATCCACTGAATACTACTTTTCCGCAATTGTGAAAAATGTGATTATTGCAAAAGTACATGACAAATAATATCTAATGGTTATATTAAAATGTGAAAAGAGAGCGTTTATTGTGCGTCCTGCAAACGTTTAATTTTAGATAATATAATTATATCGAGAAATAGATTTTCTCTCTTTTGAGATTAGCGTCATAATTTATAGGCAGTAGATTAATGATGTAATAGAATTATATAAAAAATGTATTTTATTTAGCTACCTGTTAAAAAAATATACGTATAAACAAAGAATATCTTACTGTCATAGAGAGCGTTCGATATACACATTCTTATATATAAACGTCTAAACATACACAATATTCGAATTACAATAGTTTTTCATTTTTGCGGGAAAATAATGTTTACGACGTGTTACATTTTAAGAATTCTCTAGTATCATAGATTAAATTATATTATTTTAGAGCACTTGCGCGATGTGCAAGTTGTTGATCGTACTGAAATTTGGTTACTATTTTAGCAATAATAAAACGTAGAAAGATATCGATATGTTTTATTGTACTTCCATATCTTCTCGAGTGATATTATTTTATTCGACTGCTTCGTTTATTTTCTTCCCCCTCTCTTTCATATATAGATATAATTTACAACAATAAAGACAACCGTAAAACATCATCACATGATCTCACTCTTGTTCAGAAAATACTATAATCATTACAGGTAAGAAAAAATACGAAGATAGCATATAAATAGTCCGATTGTGTGTAGCGATGCAATAGTTGTTATTTAGATAAACAATTACACTATTTAGCACATATCTTATATTATATGCACATTCCTTAATACACACTTGCAAAAAAGAGAAGGTCACCTCAGTCTTATGTCACAATATTTTTGCCTTTTTTCAATTGCGGTGATATCTGAGTCCCTTTAGAACTACAATGTCTGCTATTGATTATTTCGTCGATACTTTGCTTTAACTCCTCCATTTCCAGTATGTCGAGTGGCAATGAGGTCTGCGTCGCCATCTCTCTGGCGTTGGTAGGCCCGTCGTTTTGCAGTAATCTCGTTAATTCTGGATAACACGAGGCGTGACTAGAGTCCATGTCGTCCATCACAGTTTTTCTATACACTTCCTTCTTTTCGTTTTCGTTCTTCATCTTGATATCGCCTGTCTCTTGAAGTAAATGCTTCAAGATAGCTTCGTCCTGCAAGACATACTTGCTCCTATGACTACCTTCGCGGTTTCTCCGATCTTCCTCGTAAGTCTTCTTATTGCTATTTTTATTCTTATTACGCTCGTGCACTTCCTCTGGGTCTAGCATCTTTACTTCTTCTTCCAGCTGACTGTCTTCGCTGTCGCTATCCTGCTCATCCTCCTTTTCCATGTTACCCGTCTCTATGTCGACGTCTTTATCAGCCATATCTTGATGTCTCTTTTCTTCACTGCTTAAATTTTCGTCGCTGCCACTCTGCCCTCGCAATAAAAAGGGCAACAACATGCCCGTGTCTTTGGTGTCGATGACTTTCAAGCCCAAAGCTCGCTCGTCCAGTCCAGCGTTTCCCAATCTTCTACCCATATTGGGCATTTGGATTGGAAATACCATAGGTATTTGAGTCATCAGTTGACTATCCTGGGAAGTGGTGCTGCCCCTCCTGGAGAGCGGATCGATTTTACTTGATCGGGATTTCCCGAAGTCTCTTCTGCTCTTCCCGCGGCGGCCACGCGATCGACTGGCGACCTTCCGCGTCGTCTTCACCTGTGCAATCTGTACGGATATCTGCGAATCTAACGAGTTTCTTCTGGATTCCATAGAGACGCATCGAAAACTATAACTGATCTCAGAGTCAGCTGAATTTCGTCTATTACTAGACACAGATCCTGTAGTACCACCGACTAGCGCACCTCTTCGCGTCACTAATTTAGGCAAAGCAGCTGCCCAAGTCGTGCTAAAGTCTTGCGATGCCGCGGAGTTGAGATCGAAATTCAATCCGACCGGATCCTCGTGAGTATTGTGAAAACTTATGGACAGACGTCCGGCCTTGTTAAACGTTTTACGGTTCGCGAATAAATGCGCGATAAGCTTATGCTTGCTCAGTCTTATAGGAGGCTCTTCAGACTCGCGATTAAAGATTCTGCAAACGAAGAGAAAACACACACTATTCAGAATCGCATTGATGACAGCAACAATAAGTTGTTAACACGAAAAGTACTTAACGTGTATCGAAATTTACCTCCTCAAAAATCTGCACCATGTATCGACCGTCGAACTGGTCCAAACCCACGAGGACATAAGAATGCCAGTCGAAAATAGTGCAAGCAAATGCAATTGCAGTTTACCTGTGCTAGGTCTCATGTCTATTTTGCAATCGGATACGTCTGCATACATCGTCGTTATTGCGCATCTTTAATAAACACAATAGAATATCAATATAATAGATAATACATGTGATGAAATATGCATCTACGACTACCATTGAAATCCTTACATCATATAATTTCTAAAGCTTTGTCGCCATTCCCAAGAGTGTTGAATCTCGTAAATTTGACAATAAAATGTTACAACAACCGCTGCAAGAGTAGCTATAGAAAAGAGCCCCATCCTGACAATGGTTTGTTTTATCTTTGAACTTGCCCTTTCGGATATGATTTCTTGACTGCTTATCTTTAAGCGTATAAGTGTGTAGAGTCCTAAAATAGGTATAACATTATAGAAATAAACGATAATCCTTTAATAACATTAAAAAAAATATCGTATCAATATACTTACAATTTATTTTAATACAGAGAGCGTAAAGAAAAAAATATGGGAACTTTTAATATGATTATTTTACTGTCCTATATATTATACAAATATACATAATAAGAATCCTACCTCTACATAGAAAATATCCTCCTACTAGCACAACAATGGATACAGGACCTAGTACAAAAGCCTTCGCTGCATGATCGGCGTAACCCACGAAACATATTCCCGTCATGCTGTTACCGTCGATTCGGCCTAACGCCATTTTATCTTTGAACTTGCCCTTTCGGATATGATTTCTTGACTGCTTATCTTTAAGCGTATAAGTGTGTAGAGTCCTAAAATAGGTATAACATTATAGAGAAATAAACGATAATCCTTTAATACACATTAAAAAAAATATCGTATCAATATACTTACAATTTATTTTAATACAGAGAGCGTAAAGAAAAAAATATGGGAACTTTTAATATGATTATTTTACTGTCCTATATATTATACAAATATACATAATAAGAATCCTACCTCTACATAGAAAATATCCTCCTACTAGCACAACAATGGATACAGGACCTAGTACAAAAGCCTTCGCTGCATGATCGGCGTAACCCACGAAACATATTCCCGTCATGCTGTTACCGTCGATTCGGCCTAACGCCATAATCGCGACTGTCAAAACGAGTGGTACACACCAGGCGATTAGATGAAAATAAGCGCTCTTCTTGTTTATTCGATCTTGTATCGTGCCAAGTGCTCGGAAGCTCATATGCCAAGCGTATGTCAATATGACAAACCATACCATAGCCGCCATTAGAAAATAATAGACAAGAACAAAGACAACGACGCAAGACAAGTTCTCCCCGCTGTAAAAACATAAATGTTTTACAACATTATATCTTGAGGGATAAAACCCATTATTAAAGTACTTGCAAAACGTACCTTGGTTCTCTCATCCTTAATGTTCCGTCTTTGCGGCATATAATTACTTCTCTACCGCTGGGAGTAAATTGAACTAACCAACCAATGCAAGAAACGAGAAAACAACCATTAATATAAAATATCACTAAAGCTGGATACTTATTTGCACTTCTCCAATCTATCAAAAATGTTATCTGAAATATAATATATAATTATATATATATGTATACACATATATAGTTATAAATATATTTTCTATAACACACTTACAACGGTGAACAAATTAAAACTGCAACAGATACCTGCAGCCCATACAATAAACGAATGTATTTGATTGTGCTCATCAGATGTGTATAATGGGTCATAACATTCTGTTCCACAGCCTTCCACCCCATCGAAAATCGAGAGGGCATTGTCAGTAGGCACAAGAGGCTTCAAACATTTACCGGTAATATTAAATTTCAATTCTCTAATGTCATTTTTGCATAATCGCGGAAACAATTTTGTATTGTCGCACTTTGCGAAATTCGGCCATATCGTGTGATTAATCAACATTCTGCAGGGTCCTGACACCATTTTGCACATCTCTTGAGATGGCAGTTCGACTGTATTATTGACGCATTTCGGCATGAATATCGAGCACAGAAATGGTTGAACAACGGCCCAGCACTTTGGTACATGTCTCAAAGCTTGTAACAAGTGCAATCTTTCCTGAAAATAGGAAGATGTGTATGAAAAAATATAAAAATGCTTGCATTTTACATTACATAACTGACATATAATGCAATATTTAATATATTAAACAACATGTAATAATGTGTTATTAACAACTACGCTAAGAGTAAAAATGTATCCAGATACAACTAAATTTATGAGCCTTATACCTTGAATGTTCCATTCTATAGAAAGATAAGCTTGTGTGTATAATGAAAGAAGAAATACCTGAGACAATTTCAAATATAAATCTTGATACTTAAATTTCCAGATCTACAGGTACAAGAAGCAGGTTTATTCCATAGAATGCTTCACAATGCTAAGTTTTTAACTTGCATGCGTGTTTTTTAAAAGTCATACCATGCGCTTTATCGAAGGAAAGAATAGGAAAATATTACTAATGCAAAGAATATATAAAAAATAATCCTATCTACCTCAATAATGTCTTGAGTGACACGCTCTGGTATAAGGTCCAATGTTGTAAAGGAGTAAGGTAATTTTGTACCCATGCAGGTACCTTTATTCAGCGGAACACATTTGGCAGGTCTGCGACAGGTCGAGACATCCAGTGGCAGTTCTCCTATGGGATATCTCTCGAGCAGATAACTAGAATCTTTAATTCTATGCCGAGGACTCAGGTCCATGTCCTTCCATGTAATATTTTCGCCATCGTTGTTAAGCTCATTCTCCAATGCCGATGACGATCCGTGAAATAGCAAGCAGTAGAGAACCAGCGAAAATATCATCTGCAAGAGTAGAAAACAATATTTTCGTCCAGACATCAATACATATAAAATTTAAGTAAAAGGAGTACAAATGTCCATTTATTTAAAAAAACGAGAAAAGAGATTTTATTTTTCTACAAATATATACGCGATATCTAATCGATTAATATTTTTCAGAAAAAGATAGTCACGTGGAGCGCGTGGATAAACAATAGAGCGGGGCGGGAGAGATGTGCGTACTTTTGTGACTCGTCGCGCTCACTAGTCGAGGCCGTTGTTCTTATGTAGGATTTCGGCTAACCACGGGACAAGGTCTTGATTTCGTCCGACCGGAGCGTCTCGCATCTTCTATAATCTCGCCGCGACAGCGTCTGCACTCAAAGCGCGCACAAACCAGCCGGACCACACACGCTCCCGCTCGACGGACCACCCACGATGCGATTCCCTTATACCCTCGCAAGCCTATCTCAAGTTTGAATACACGCTATAATTGATTCTGCGCATTGCTCACCAGTGGCAGCACTATATTATGCGGAGAGGGATCAAGGGCGAATAGGGCCCTTGTGGATCTGCGAGCTTCTTCTTGGGAAAAAATTGATTCGTATGTATATATATTTCAAAAACAACTACATTGAAAATATTTTTTTATTTTATCTACTATATATATATAATTATTTCTCTCTCATCTCATTCTATATGTTTGTGAGATACTGCTATCAAAATATCTCAGAGATGTGTAACAATTAAAAATTTCATTAAATTGTTTTCCTAAATATTTATAAACTATAATTAAAACATCAGAGAGAGAATTATTGACAGCTTTATATATGAATGCAAAGAATACGAAAATTTTAATATAGAGAAAAGTTTATTTCATTTTTTACATGTAATGAAATTACAATTAAGTGGATTATATACAGCATTTGTAGCGTTATTATGAAAACTACTTACAAGTTCGTGATGATAAAATACAAGACACACATTAATGGGAAACAGTTTATTATTTTCTTATTCTCTCCAGTAAGATTTTATTTCAATAATGAATATTTTATATTCACACTCTTAACTAAATACACATGTTCATGGGCCATAAGCACATAAATCAATTAGCTGATATTTATTCAAGCAGAACAATCCTAAACAGTTTCTAGTTTCCACGTTAAATTTTATTATAAAAAAATTTATTGTCTCAAAATATTTCCACAAATTAAATTAATAAAAAAAATTCACTAAAGGATGAGATATTCAGTCTTTAATTGTGTTGAATCTAAGTAAATGTGCTAGCATGTGATTCCAGATAATCGTGTCTCTTGAAAATTTATTACAGTAGAATTTGACCGGCTACCTGTCTTATATAAATGACATAGTCTTACATATATTCTATAGTTCTATTCTTCATATCGTATTAATATGTGGTCTTATCTATTTATTCTGTGTATTGCACGAACATCACGATTTCTGTTCATTTTTTATAAGAATAACATTTTAGCATATTAAACATACTAGTAGAAGGAAAAAAATACCTATAAATAGCATGAACCAATTAGGAAGAAGAATTATGTTTAACATTCTTTTGAGAATTATATATATAATATACACATGCACACAGATATAAACTTCCAAAAATTACATATTCTTATCAAAAATGTTAAGAGAGCTTTTACTCAATTTATGAACAGTTTGTGTATAACATTATAGTATCATATTCTACCAGAAGTAATTAACCAGTTATACTAAGAGAATCTATATTGGCCAATAAATCTTTCACATCATCTTGAACCTGATCCGAGGTGCTGGATAAAGAGAGACGCGAGCAGAAATTGCTCAATGTTTCTACCTGCTCTTGCATATTTTTTTGCTTCAACAAATACGCCAATAACATGTTAACTATATCATGCATCTCCTCCTTGACTTTATCCATATCCTTATTACTATAATTCCGTTGTAACATCCTCAATTTTGCTTTCGCTAATTGCAACGGATTGTAGCCATATTTATCTAATGCAAGAACATTAGTACCGGCTGTTAAAAGTAGTGTTACTACCGATATTTTGCTGGTAACTGCCGCTAAATGCAACGGAGTATTGCCTATACAATCACGCTGATTCGGATCCGCACCATTTTCCAACAATAATTGAACCATCTTTGTATAACCCCTATGACAGAAAAAATAAATCTTGATGCATGTCACAATAATAAATTGATTTTGTATTACGAAATATATATTGGCAACTTTACGAATAGATCGTCTCACAAAAAAACTTTGTTCTTAGCCTTAGATTAACAATAAAAAGCATACTCTTTAAAAGCAGCTTAATACAAATAATCTAAAATATGAAATTTAACTTCTTTTTATGTTCTGATTTCATTCTATAGTAATGTATGTCTTTTACAATAGATATTTATAAACCTGAGAAGCTATGTCAAAGTTTAAATTAAATTATATTAAATTCTGCTTAAATTTTTTACAAACAAGAACGCAGCCAAGGAATAGCTTTAAAAATATATAGAAAAATGATTATTGCGATCACTTAAATATACAAATTACCTGCAAGCTGCATGATGAAGTGGTGTTCGCCCATCACTATCAGGACTGTTAGGTGATACGCCAGTCTGTAAGAGCGAGCTCATCAACATGGTATTATTTACAGTAGCAGCCAGCCGCATCTTTCGTCCAATATGATAAACATGCCAATATTGCCAATCTTTCAAACTATTGGTTGAACTTTTGTACCAAGTACGTGATTTCATCTTGGCACGATAAACAGATCCTGAATGAAAATTATTATTACATTTAAATTTAATATAAATACATTTCAATACATCTTTTATCAAGGAATTATACATGAATTAATCTTTATTTTAACTAAAACAAAAAGATAATTGTATATGAAGAAGAATACAAAATATATACTTTTTGCAATCTGCCCAAGTTTAATTAAGCAGAAAAGACATAATATTGATTAAGCCATTTGCAATAACGATCGCGCTTATGCAAAATCCCTATCTGCACGCAATATCAACGTACGACGGATGCAATAAAGAAGAATGCAAAATATATATATATATATATATAAAATGAATACAAAAATAAACACTTTCAAATAAACGTATATTACTGCAAGAATATTTTTCTATCAAAACAATCTGATTAAAATTGTAAGAACACTTACTATTTTTCAATAACTCTGCATCAGTTCCGTTTCCATCATATATTCCGCATGTTCCTGATGTTTTCATTTCCTGCTAAAATAATATTAATACTTTTTTACTTCCATATTTATAATTGCTTACTATACTTAATTATATAAATCACTTATTTGCAGTAATTAAAGCTAATTAAAAATTATTTATTAAAGCAGTGCAGCATGTAGCAAAAAAGTGAAAAGAGATCTTAATATCTATATAATCGTGATTGTAGGATTTTTTACTGAACGCTCTTATCGGTCCTATCTAATTCTAATTTGCATTTGAATAAAGAAATAATTATTCTCTGGCACTAGCAAAAAAGAAAGTCTGATTCGTCATTTCGCATTTCATGTTTACAAACAGCTGTTTACCTTAGCTTTGCCGATTTCTGTATCCGACAGCAGTCTGTCATCTTGCAACAGAGTATTGTCCTCCAAGATCTTCCGTTTGTAAGCAGCTGTGAAGTGGCAGCCGTCAGTTTTGAAGCACAAGCGCGGGACCGTCAAAGCCAGATCGTTTGGACACTTCATCCTTATCTGACACGGCCGATTATCATAGTACTGATCTATCCTCATTTCATTATTATTGATGGGATTGACACCGTAATCGGCGAAAATGATATTGCTGTTAGTGACCTGGCCGGCTGCGACATGCTGTTGCTGGCTTTCGTGCTGAACGCTCGAACTGTCATTCGAGTCGTTCCCGGTTTCTACTCCCGAGTCAACCGACGTCATGTTAAATAAATCCAAGCAACGTGAACTCTCTCCTTCGTAGCACAATGCTCTCGTTCGTGAGAGCCTCTTTCCAGAGAGAGTTGTATACTACTACAGTTATATGTCTGTTCAGATATAAATATTATTCCTTTTCGATTTCTATCCGCGTAAATACTCCACGCCGAAATATATGTATATAAACTACTAATAATCAAAATATCGTACTGTTTAGTACATACGTATACGTTAGTATATGTACGCAATTTGGCACAGTTCTCCCACTTCGTCCTTCACACGTGACCTCGCATGCGTGTAATGAAAATTTCGTTGTGCGCATGAATTTCATATACAGGGTGTCTGATAATAATCGCCCCACCCGTAATGTGTAGGTACAGCGAATTAAACCGAGTAGGAAAGTCCTCTTATCTTTTTGCGATTTTTGCAATAATTAATGAAAAATTAATTTTAAAAAAATTGGCCTATACTCGCGTGAATTGATCAAACTTTTTTAATTAATTTCTCAATAATTATTACGAAAATCGCAAAATGGTAAAGGACTTTCCTGCTCGGTTTAATCCGCTCTACCTGCACATTACAGGTAGGGCGATTATTATCAGACACCCTATATATCTGTCATATGATAAAGCTGACATGAGATGGTATGGGACGAATTGGAGTGAGTTCGAAAATTTTACCTGTGGAGTAAAGAAGCGTTTAATTGACCAATAAGGACAAAAGGAGCAAAAATTTCTGTGTCTTGATTGGTCGATTAAATGCTACTTGGCGATCGGATAAAGAATTTCTTGCAATAACAGCCAATCAATACGGATGTAATAAGTCTGTTCGTGTTATTCGCACTTTCTGCACTCGAATTCTTCGCTATCTCTCTCCCTCTCTGGAACGCCTAAAATTTGTCTCCTTTTAAATACATAAATCTCTGGAAATCGTAAATAAACAAGACGAACCAATACGCATCGTGAATAGGTTTTTCATTTCGCTTGCAATTTTTAGCAATTTTTACGCTTGAAATGAGAAAAATATTCAAGTGTTGGAAAGAAAGTGAATAATCTGAATATAAGAAGTGCAAGTAGAACGAACAGACCTAATCTTTGCATTGAATATCTCTGCATCGATCGCATCGATTGAGATTTATGTATCGAAAATTTCAGACATTTAACTTGAAATAAAACGCGGGATAAAACGGATATTAACTGAAATTGTAGATTGATATTTATATAGAGCTTGTAACGTCTTGTGAAGATTCGCATCATTTCACCACCATTACAGATTCTGTCGTAATCAGTGTATGACGCATCTTTAGCACAGCCTGTGTTCCTTAACATATGGCATTGTGTTTAATCGTTATTGAAGATATATAGTCAAGATTCTTGTTTGTTAAAATTGTTCGAAAGTAAAACAAACTTTGAGACATTCTTTTCGATCCGTTTATTAAAATGGGAGTCCCATCATCTGCAATTACAGAAACCAAGAGATTAAATGAAATTTATTATTCAAAAGGTAAGTTTGCAACTTTTTCGTTCGAAATAAATGCTTTTTTAAAATATCTTTCTTGTTTTAAATAAAAGCGTCCTCAAAGCGTATTATGACAAGCTATGTTTAATCAAATTACTGTTAAATTGTTAAGATAAAGCACTTTTTCCAGCCTCATTTATGAGGTTAACTGTTTTATATAATTCTAGGTCAGATAAAGGAATATGGACAAAATATACATCTAAATTCACAATACAATCAAAAAATTAATTGTTCAAACAGAATTTTCGAGTTTGTAAAGTCTAAAGTTCATCCAGATATAAAGAACCCAGTTCATAATTCTTTTCCGAATTCTGAAACAGTATCCAAGGAATCAATCAAAAATGCACATGTGAAACCTCAATTACTTCCCACAAATGTTTATGTTAATCCAAACTTTAAACCACAAAACCCAACCATACATATCAATCCAAATATTTATGCTAAACCGTTAATACATATTAATCCGAAAATAATGCACAATATTGCTAGTTCAAATCAGAATCTGCAAAATAATGTAAGCACAATAAATGCCAGTACAACAAAAACAAATATGGATAACAATACTAAGCCAGCAAATATCAAGAGAGCTATATATGTTAATCCAACATTGCTGAATAAATTATCATCAAAAGAGAAATCTAAAGAATCTAAAGAATCAGTTTCTAAAGAATCAATTACAACAGAACGACCTGTTTGTTCAAGACTAAAGCCTATGAAAAATACCGACAATCAAAAAGTTTCTCCAAAGAGGGTTAATAACTCTAGTATTGTGCTTTTATCACACAGAAAGCTTGTGAGAGTAGCTCGTTCTACAAAAGTCATGTCAAGAACTTTTCTAGTATCTCGATATAAGTTATCAAAATCTACAGAGTTAACGGGAAAAAAGATTGATAAAACAATATTGCAAACGAAAAATAAATCATTAGCAAATAATCCATTACAATCTACATGTAAATCTAACTTATCAAAATTACGTATGAATAAATCTAATAATAATTCTAAAGTAACCAAATATAAGATTGACAGGACTGTATTAAAAGTTAAAAAAACCAGCCTTTCAGAAAAGACAAAAGTTATGTACGTATCACATTTACTATCATATCGAATAAATCGCAAAATAAAAAATTTCATGAAAGTTTTTATATTATAGAGGAGGTGCAGAGAAACTTGTTACTATTGGTGGTATTGTTTACAAAGCTTCTAAAAACAAATTAATACGGAAGAATTCTTTATTGAAACGTACGTGCATCATATTGTTTTGCATTTTATTATTGTATTAGGTGTATATAGATTTTTAATTTATAAATGTATGTATTATAAAATTTTTCTATAAAATTTCAGGAAAACGATCACTTAATGGAAAAAATGATAAACCTAGTGTTGCTATTTATGACAAGAAACAACGATTCAGTAAAGAAACTTTAAATTGTACATTAGGAACAAATACCAATAGTAAACCACGATTTACCATCAACATGTTGTTGAAAACCAAATATAATATTAGATACAAAAATAGTATCAGGTACAGTGATATTTATTTAATATTGTACAGTTCATATATCCTAAACTCATTGTAAGGTCAAGTATTTCCTCTATTTTTAATTTTTCTCAATTTCCGCTCCTATTCTAATGACTAAATAAAAATGTTATGTGCTTTATCTTCACTTTCTCAGTCTAACATGATCTTGTGGCAAACTTGAATATAATTAACTCGTATTGTGATCTTATTCATCATATGAATCAAAATGTTTGTAAAGTTATGTTCTCCAGTACTACTCTTTTAGCTATTTGCTAGATAATCACATGTCTAACTATATTAGAATGATAATTAAAAATAAATAATATTTGGTTCTCCACTGACTTTATATGAGCAATTAACTTAATAAAAAAATAGCTTAGAAAGAAAAGACTTGGTTGAAAGAAATAATTAATTTGAAATAAAAGATGACTAGAAAAGAGAAAGTCGAGTTTATATGAGGGGAGTTACTATATAGAATAGTTTATATAAATTTATACAAATTTGTATAAATTTATTAGAGTTTATTTTTTTGCAGCAACAAAGCAAAACAAAGAAGCATACGAATTTTACGAAATAAAATGCACAAAAATAACCAGCCTTGTTTAATTTTTCAACGATTTGGATCTTGTCCAAACTATGAAAATGGAAAGTGTCTCAAACGACATGATAAAAAGCAGGTGTCACTCTGCAAAAAGTAAGTAAATATTTAAAAATGTCTAATATATATTTAATAGTCTAATAATAATTAATCCTCTTAATGTCAACAACTTAGACATTTAATATAGATAGCTCATATTATAGGCCATAGGCTACAACTCTATCTTGTATCATAACTGTACTATAATAGGAACAAAATTAAAATTTTTGATTTCTGATAAAATAAAAAATATTAATATAACAAGAAAAATTAATTGTGAATATTCTTCAGTTTTCTGCAAGGAAAGTGTTTCTTAGACAAATGTTCTCTATCACATGACGTTGGACCTGAAAAGATGCCTACATGCAAGTACTTCCTCGATGGCTGCTGCACAAGAGATGATTGTCCTTACCTTCATGTTAAAGTGTCTTCAAACACTTCAATCTGCATAGATTTTCTACAAGGATATTGTGCTAAAGGAACTAAGGTAACTACATTAATTCTTTTAGTTTATTTGTTCGTTAATCTATTAGTTGCTTAATAAATATAACAATAAATGTAACAATTTGTTATAAACGAACTCCCCTTAATAAGACAGAGATCTCAGACACGCGGCTTATGAGTTGTAGATGGTCAGTTACATTACCATACGGCCCATAGATTTTTAAGTTAAAGGTAAGTAAAAGCGATGATTCCGATCATTGATACAGAGGAAATGTGTGGCTGTACCAATACATAGAAGATTCTTCATTCTATTCTATGTGGTGATGTTGACTTTCTGCCGTGCGGCTGCGTAAAGATACGAGTCTGAGACCACTGGCATAAGAGGAGAAAAAAATACATTAAATTTAAGATTTATAAGATGAAAATAATATTTTAACCATAACACAGATGCCTTATGTGTAAATGACATAATGGCTCATAATAATATTTTGTAAAGCATAGAAAGAGTACTGATTTGTTCTCCTACAGTGCCAACGGCGTCACGAGTACCTTTGTCCTGAATTTAACAAATCGGGGAACTGCAGCAAAGGTGAGTGTTGTCCTTATCCTCATAAATCGCATTTCTCTGATTCCGAAAAAAGCGCTAAATATTCAAGCAAACTGCGCGATGTGAAAAAAACTACGCTCACGACAAAGAATGATTCTGAGATGTCAAATACGGAAAACAGATTAAGGTATTATGAAATAAATAATAGTTTTACTGAACATCTCGAGAAAAAGAAAAAAACTCCAATTATCGATCGTACAAAACAAATTAAAATTAACGAGACGAAAGAGTCTTTAGTCAAAGAAAGCGAACATATATTAGATAAGACAGCTTGCCATTCTAATAATAAAAAAAAGCGGGTTTCTACAGGCAGTTATATCCCTATTGATATATTTTAATTAATATTTATATACATTATTTTTAGAGTAAATAATTTTTTAAGTTAATTCGATCGTGTTAATACGATCGCGATTATTGAATTAAATTAACGTTTGAATGAAAGTATATATATTTAGAGGTTTTCTTTTTAGCTATCGTTATATTCTCGAAAATATTTCATGATACAATTATTGTAAAGACTAAGTTAAATTTTCTATCGTTTTTTAATGGAATTATTCAGCAGCGCTGGGATATAAATAAATAAATCTTTGTGTATATAACGATACTGTCCATATATAAGTATTTGATATGCTGTGATATATCAAATATGTTATAAAATTATTTCGGATATATATTAATTTTTTATTATATGCATTTATATATATTATATATAAATTCTTTAAATTACTTAACACACTTGAAGTGGGAAAATAATGCAACAAATAAATTCAACATATAGGATGGAGGTTTGATCATATTTAGTTTATGACTGACTAGACCATTTAAAAAAAATGCAAAATATTTAGCAACTCTATTGTCTTGAGATCCAAACAAATAAAATGACTATCGATTAACAACTATTTGAAAGAGAGTTGATTTTTGAAATGGACGGGCCCTCTAGACTTAGTTCTGCATAGATGATACCATACATGAATTCTTTACCAGAAATATATTTGCCATCCTATTATTATTATTATTATATATATCATTTTTAGAGTTTTTAATAATCGAGTTTTACTTTTTCTCCTAACACAGTAATGGAATAATGAACATATATTGTATAATTTTAATATATACAAGGTGGTTAGATTTTGTACATTGTTATATAAATAAAATACAATAATATTATATAAAAGAAAACACATTTATTTTCCAAAAATATATATTTTAATAAATAGAAAAATTCAGAATATATATATATATATATAAATAATTTATCTTTTTGCATAAACACATATTATTTAGTAGGTTTAACTGTACAACAATATAGAATATTGTATAACAATATTAACAAACTAAAGATTAAAGTTACACTCCCTTTATACTGAAGTAGAAAAGTATAAATTTGCACTCTTATTTTTTGTATGTATATGTTAAATTTTCTTCAGTATATTAAGTAACAATTTATAGATGTAAATAGAAATATAGCAAGTTCTTATCATACATTATATATACAAAATAATTTATATTTATTTATACAATTATTTTTTCGATATATTGCACAAAAATTGTGTATATATATATATATAAAGAGATATTGATTGACGAAATAGATATTAAAGTATTTACAAAAAACGATGTTTATCTGTGTACTCACAAGAGAAAGAGCAACATATTATCTTTTTAATAGTTTAGTAATATATGCAAAATATTTTTTAAGCAAAAAATGATTGCTAAATTAACTAGAAATTTCAAAGTAAATTTTTGTGAAAATTAATATTATTATAATAAATAATCCAAGATCTCGCAAAAACGAAGAAGTCATCTTTTTTTATTTTTTTAATTATATATAAGGATCCAATTTGTTGTATGGTTATAAGCTAATAAAATTGGGCTATGTAATATCAAAGATATATTATTTTTATCAACAGATGCTGATACTGTTAACCATTGCTCAAGCCAGCTCCTCATATTTTCTACAGACATATTTGCAGGGTTTACACCTCTAAAAGATAGAGCCTGAAAAATAAATTAATTATAAAGTAACTAATATTTTTTGCACAATGTACTAAAACAAGATTTACATTGAAATTATAAGTTACAATATTCTTAGAACAAAAAGTAAATTTCCAAAGATAAAAAAAATAGGAACAATAATAACAGTATATGTATAACATAACAATATGGCTTCTTCAGTTTGAGATAACAAAATAAATAATTATATTCTTTCACCCTAGGTATACATATTTTGCATCATTCTGGAAGCATAAGTTAATAAAAGGTATCTACCCATCGCATTGCTTCATTAGACATTGCTTTTACTCCTCCTTCTTTTACAATAGCACGATCCATTCGCAAAATTAACATACCCCTTTCCATCAATCTTTTTCTCTTGAAAGGCCTCCACATAGACATACCATGTATTGCTAATAATTCTTTCTAAAAAAAAGAAGAAAAGAGAACAACATCTATGTGAAAACAAGCTTCAGAGAAACAAGAATTCAGGAGTGATGAGTTCACCACTTATGGGCTTACCAGGTGTCTCCTTTTTAGAGAATTAAGGGAATACGGTGGACCTGAGAAGAGCTTAGAACATGCTATAATATTCTTGGTGGTTGGATGTGTACCACTTCCCAGACAGGCTATAACATCTCGCCACTTTATCCTGAGCGTTTGATCTTTGATGGTCTTGAGCTCCGCCTGCATGCATCTGAGCAACGGCCTATTGTGCCTGAGCCGGTTCTTGTGATCGGACAGCATGAAGTCTAATTTCTGCTGCAGCGTCCAATAATGCGACGTCAATAGATAGCGCGGAAAGTAAAGGGCTAGGGGAAAAATAATGTAATTCGTAAACGGAATAGCTGACAGCAGGAACAACGGTGACAGTTTTCGCAGGTCTCTCGGCATCGTGTACATCAACTGCAGCTCCTCCCGCGTCAAGCTATCTATGCCGTTCGACCCTTGTTTCTTTATAGCGAAGACGAAACTTTTCACGTCCGTGTATACGTCTTTGCTGCCGACGCTGAACACGCGATACACCTGCATCGTACGCGGAAACTTCTGTTCAAGCGTGCGCTCATAGTTCTTGATGTAATTCATGTACTTGTCGAACCAATACTTTTTCAGGTTAGCCACTTTGCCTGGCTCGTCCGCTCTCTTCACCGCTTTCACGAGGCCCCGTTGTATCGGGGTGCGTTTCAAGGGCTCCAACACATTCATGCTCTCTCGCACAAGTATCCTGGATATGATTTTGTACATTTTTGAGACTGAATCACCGCTAGAGAAAATCAAACGAGCGCTGCACTATGGTCGGCTCCGCGACCAGCTGATCAGCTGATTCGAAAGAATTTCTCGCTTTCGGATGTTTTTAGCGGTTATTTCGGAAAAATTCTTGTTGTTTTTCGTAATAATAATCTTTGCGTTTTATGTTGCATGTAATGTTGTTTTTGCTTTAAATTATATTGTGATTAATCTTGTAACGCATCGAATGCGCAGTTATCTTTCCTGATCGGTAAGCACTCTGTTTTTTTAGTATATTTACTTTTTTTACTCTGATATATATATATATATATATATATTTATTCATTATTTTTTTGATAATCACATTATCTAAGTATTTGCGTTGTAAAAACAACATCATATATATCTTATATTTGCAGTTGAATAATATTTTTAAATTTTTGTTAATATTAAAGATTTGAACGTTCTCGTTCGATATCACTTTTTTTATTTCGTTGCGTTTATCAGTTTTTTTATTTGCGCAGCACAGGCGCAATATTGCATGATTAAACGTAAACGTTTTCTCATTGGCGTTTAGCAGAGAAAACCGCTCAGTAGCAATCGAACGTGATTGGCTCTTACTTTTAGAACCAACAAATCAACGTCGGGTGTTGACAAGACGATAACTGAGAACTGAGCGCTTTCTCTGTCGAACGCGGCCATTTTCTCAAAGACGTCCCTAACCTGGAAGAGAGAGTTGCGTTGTTGTGTTTATGTCGATTGTCGATTAATGCTTATTCACGCGACGATTAATGCTAAGTACTAAGTGCTACTGAAAGTTGTTAAAGTAAAGCGAAGGCGAAGAATCGTCAATAAACCGACCATGACGGAATGGTATCAAGCAAGGATTTTGCGTCTATGCGAATCGAACAATATCGAGGAAAGGAAGGATATTTTGACGGACATCAAGATCAAATTTAATAACTTAAACAACTATTTGGATCGCCAACAAATCGCTCGAAATTTAGACTATGAACCACTTTTTTCACAATTAACCTCTAGTAACAGATACGATAACGATAGGTGAATTTTCTATGAGTTAATCAATCTCTTAAATTTAACATGAAACATGCAATGCGAATATTATAAGATAATTTTATCATAAACGTTTAAAAAATAAGATAATTAATATGTTTTTCTAAATAATATATTTTATATTAGTCTTGGACATTTATATTTGCAAATAGTCCAAATGTAGGATGTCCAAATGTTTGAAAATTGTCAGAGTATGTTAAAATTAAATATTTATATATAAACAATGATAGTCTGAAGATATGATTAGATACATTTAAATTATTATTTTATACGTACAACTATTATTCTTATAAAGTATAATATGGAATGTTTCTCCTTTTTTGTATGTAATTATATACAATATATAATATTTTCAAAAACTTATATTGTTAAGAACAAAAAAGTTTAACAATTTCTTTTTATTGCAGAGAAGCTCAGCAAATACTTGGAAATATTCTGTATGTTATGTCCTGTGTGCTAGAACCTGGAGAAATTTATCTGAAATATCCAGTTGAAGTATCTGCTCTGATAATTAATCCAAATAGTATTGTAAGAGAGCATGTACTATCAGAATTGCTGCGAGCAGCTTGTCATCGCCAAAAGATATTTCAATTGCTCGATGATACTACTCTTCTGATCTGTATTGTAGACAGAATCGGCGATGACAATATTTATATTGCTGAATGCGCGATGAAAATAGTGAAGAATGTTGGAATGGCTCCAAATGATTCACATATGTATAAGGGTGAATTCCTGAGGACATTCACCCAATTATTGCAAAAGAATGATACTATCAGCTTTCGCGTTTATGAAGTTATAGTGGACATAGCCAAGACATCCAGAAGGGCTTTGGAAATGTGGGCTCAATCAGGCTTACTGAACGGTTTAATCAACTTTCTGGATAATGAAGATATACTACTTCAGTTAAACGCTTTGAAAATATTATCTGAATTAACGATATTTGAGGAGGGTGTAAGTTACCTGGAACAGCAAGGGCTGTTGAATAAGCTAGCTCAAAAGATAGCGCAGGCCAACGAGAATCCTTTGTCAAATCTTTTGATTTCTGGTCTGATGAAGTTCTTTAGTAATATCGCGCGTCATTGGCCCAATGAGTTGTTTTCCAAATATCCTGTGGTAATCTCCGCGCTATTCGAGATATTCGATAGGGAGGTGGTAGAGAATCAGGATATCCTAGGTTCCGCAATGGATACTTTGGGATTAGTGTCCGCGAGTGTCGAGGGCAAGTACGCGTTACAAGCGCTAGGAGACGCGATGCCCACTGCTCTTAAAAAGATCGCCGAGATAGTGCAGAGAATGCCGACTTCTTTGAGAATTTGCGGCCTCAACAATCTTGCCCTTATACTCGAGGTCAAGACGGACGAACAGGACAATAGAATCTTGTCTCTGACGAAACTATGGTTCGATTCGTTGTGCGATGATCCGTTAGATATGATTGTATCGATATGCAGACAACCGTTCCACGATATCAGAGAGGCCGGTTTGGAGGTTTTGAAGGTGATCAGCTCTCAAGTATGGGGACAAGAGTATATATCCACTCATCCGGGTCTGGTGGAGTTCCTATTAGATAGAAATATCGAATCGTTCAGAAACTGCAAGAACACCAAGTACGTAATCGTGAAACGTTTGTCTCAAGCGGGGCCAGACATATTCGACTGGGATACTATACAAAAATTCAAGCAATTCGTTGATGAAGGTCCGTACTTTGTCAATACTAATAGAGAAGTCGCGATAGAGGATGCTTTATAAAGAGGAGAAGGAACAAATCCTTGCATCATTACTTGTTAAATGTTAATATTAAAGATATATGTTATATGTAATACATAAGGTAAACAACTTCTAAAAGACGCGACGTAATATTTATTTTTTATTTATATTGTTTTTTTAAAAAACATTAGTTACCATGAAAAAATTAAGCTTTTACATTTATTACAAAATCAATTTTACTAAAGCGCGTAATGTGCGCTTATTCTTTTTCTCACACAGTAAGAATATTCATTGTATCAGAATTTACATCGGAACTTATATATACAAAGAGAAATAATTTATTTTACATTTAGCAATACACAGAAAAGTCCATGCTGTTACATATTTGAGACAGATGAAACAAGTGGTGTTAATACAATGTATAATAACACTTACAATATTTTGCCATTGTTTCGCAGATCTTTACAAAACTCATACATAATATATGTAAATAAAATTGTATAAATAACCGTACGAGCGGTGTGTGTGTGTGTTAAATATGTTTTAATCTTTCTTATTATACACGCCTTCGCTTTTTCGGTGAAAGAATCTTCAGCATACTGACTACCGGTGCTTCGAAGGTGACCGACACTATGAAGGAGAACACATAAGACAGCACTAATTGTCCCAGGAATGTTAAAGCCTGAAAAATGACATTTTATACACAATACTCCATTATATTTACTTGTCTTTGCCTCGACATAAACTTACCACAATATCCTTCCCTAAATGAAACGGCGAATCTAGATTCATAGCGGTCAGACGAATTACAAGCGGATGAACTAAGTAAGCGCAATAAGTCACTCTGCTGAACGGATACAAAAGTGGCCACGACAGTATTTTATTTACATATCCTGAACTTATTTAATCCGTTTAATGCAACGATTGACTCTAATCGTTACAATTAGTCTAATAATTTTTTTTCTTTTTTTATTAAATAAGTATATTCTCACCTCCGTAACCGGTGCTACACGCTATTACGATCCATGCTAGACCGAGTGCCCACGCGCTATGGCTTAACGAAGAATACGCAGCGGATGTAGCGGGTGTAAGTTCTGCTTCGTATAGACCGTAAAGCAAACTTAAGAGACATGCGGAAGACAGGAGCCATCCCACGACGATGGTAGTCTAGAAATGATGATGTCAAAAATTATTTTCAAATTTAATTTGTATATCGAAGAAGAATTAATATCGTACAAATATTGCAAAGACATCTAAGAGAGCTTCCGATCTTTCAAACAAGCATTTTTTGAGATATATTTCTTGAATTTTCACTGTAGCTGATCGTACCTTGGACATTTTCACTTTACAATCAGTCTTAAAGAGGAAGTAACCGACGGACATCCCGATCAAGTAAGGACCTAATCTCGTCCACGGCTTGTCGTAGATCTTGTCGAAGAGGGCCAACGGGTCATCCGAGCTCGGCATGTGATTATTGACTAAAGCAACATAGGCGGTAGTTACCCACGAGCTTACCAATAGACTGACTAATGCGAAAGCTGCGATTTTGAAGTGAGTCGTAGCTAATACTAGTATGACACCACCCACTATGTAGAACTGTGTATCGTCTGCTAGGTACCAGCTCCAAAGCATGCACTGTAATGCCACAATATGAATTTATATAACTTCATCTACGGATGGTGGAGAAAGAATAAAATTCATAAACTATTAAAATAAAGTAAAAGAAAAAAAGATCAATATACAGATTAAAAGTATTAAATTGAACCCTTATTTTATGAAAATAATGGATGATTAAAAATCGAGATAAAATTAAAAGGAAGAGCTTAAAAGGTCATTCATTTAATCTTTATCATGAATGTATCAGGAATATAAAATGTCATTCTATTACAAAAAAATAGAATTAACTATCTTTAGAAATCATTAATCAAAGATTTAGAAAACAAGATATCTTATCACGTTAATAGATTTCTGTTAATTATAATTTTTTTAATCCTTTGCAAAGTAAAACAAGGCGCACCATTTGCTCGACGGGAAACCAAGTGTTAATATAGAGCACGTTTCTCCACCAGTAATTAGGACAATTGTAATGATCCGCCGTGGGAGGTTCGAAGACGGAGTTTGTGTGGAAATACTTCATCGAGATCTCAACCAGACCCAGGACGAACATGTACGGCGCGGTAAGCCTGCAGAATCTGTACATAAGAAGCCCGATAAACTTCAGGGTGCCCGCGATGAAGCCTCGCGTGCCCTGTGTGAGCCTCTTCAGGTCACCCTTTGCGTTGGTTCTGAAATATAGGAAGCTCACGAGCAGACCGCCCATGAAGAAGAAGGTGTCGACGCTGAAAGCTCCGTTCGTGATGGTCTGAAAGAGAAATCTCTTCTCCACAACCTTGCGATATTCCATGTTGTCCGAGTATTTGAAGAGAACGATGCACGTGTGCCCGAGGATAACCCAGGCCATCGATATCGCCCTGAGCCCGTGCACGGTGCTGATGGTGTCCCCACCCACATTACGGTCGCAGATGATCTTCATGTTGGCGCGAACGGAAAACGAAAGCAAAAGTTCCTCGGGGACATCTATAAAAGCAATAGAAAGTTTATTGTTCTGCCAATCATAAAAATTTTATTTATATTATAAAAATCATGCGATTTTAATTTTCTAAATCAGAGACTTAGATCTTTTAATTATTGAATTTCTTTTTATCTTTTATTTCATTTTTTTTTCAATTCGTATAAAAGACAGAGGAGAGCAGGAATTAAAAAGAATCCTTTTTTCTAATTTAATCATATTACTAAATTAGAGTGCGTTGAAAATATAAGAGGATGAGAGAGAAAATATCTAATTACTGATTTCGATGATATTGAATATATTCAAATTCACAGATGGTTCTTGGATTCTTGCTATTTATTATAATATTTGTTAATTTTTTTTACGACTCTAGGGATATGGATAAGACACAAAAATTTAACGTACTAAGCTGTCGTCCTTCCGTGGTAGACGTAGGTTGCAAGCCATTCTCACGATCGTTGTTATTATTAATCGGCTGCGCGCTATTGCTGCTAGAATCTGCTACTGGAACAGGAAGGTAGACCTTACCTTGTACAGCTATGGAATATAATAATAAATCGTGTCACTACTTCTGGTACCGTCCTTGTCTTGTCGTGATAGTCTGTGAGTGGTAGTCGGGCTTTATATTAATCCGCGTACTTTATTTCTCGCGAGAGACGCACAAGGTAATTGCGTTTCGCGCGATTACAGCATCTTCCTTTAGAGTTACCGCGAGATGAATTAGTATAGCGAGTTATAGCGTTTTTCTTTGCAAAACAGTTATTATGCTATGCTGAAACGCGCCTTACTTTTTGTCATTTAGTTATTATTTACATAAGTCTCAGCTTTTTTAATTTCGTACAAAGCGGTTCAAATTCCTCGCATCTCTTTTTGTCTACTAATTCATCTTTGTTTGGAATAAAATTTTTCCTCTTTAACAAAAATATTTATTTAGGACATTGATTTATAAAAAAATTTTAGTACATTTGAATTTTTGAAAATAATACAATTAATATACTGAAAGCATAAATATTGATGGCATTGGTCTTTCTTTCGTTAAACTCTAAAAAAACGTTACATTTAAAGAAACGTTACATAAAAAGAAAGGTACCTCGTTTTTTGTATCTCATTTTTTTAGTAATTAAAACGGTGAGATTCTCACATAAATCAAGCTCTATAAAAATAAATAAATTGTATTTTTTATTCGATTTTTATTTGTTGTTTTAAATTTAATATTTATAATCTGAGATTTAAGTACAAAGAAATGTTTAATGTCGAGAAATTGAGGTAAAGGACGCCACTCGTATTTTCATATTTTCAATAAGATAACGTCGACTTTGAATCGATTGAACAATGTATGCAAGAATTGAAAGAATATGCGAGGAATCTGTGACATCCTTTCGTAAAGAGCAAAAAATAACCGCAAAATAAAATTATCTTAATGCATTGATGTTATCTTTGCAATAACAGAAGAGATGATCAATAAAATTCTTGAACGCTAAGTTATTTACCATTTAACACTTTCCCATTGCCATTGGTGAGATTATCGAGCTTCCCGTGCTTCTCCAAATCGTAGATTACGTTTTTCTTGCAGGCTATTTTTTCCGATAGATAATAATCGTATCCGGTGCCGAGGATCATCAGTATCAGGACAATCGTGCTGACACCGCTAAAATACATTGAACATTTCCGTCATTCGCGCGCGTTTAATCACAATCCTTCAAAGGGTTTCAGTTTTCAACATTTTAAACGAATGAATAAAAAATAAAACGATTAAAGCAATACACATACATTCACGTATCATTAAATCTCATATCGAGTAATATCTATCTCATTTTTGGACAAAATATGACGTCTAGTTTTGTGTAGTTTAACTTTAATCGAGAATCTTTTTTTTTTACCGCAAACTTACAATAGAACCCAAAAGACCGGATCTGTGTACATGTCGTATAAATTGTGCTGATCTCTGACTTTTTCGATTAACGAGTATTTCGCCGCGAATTCGCCCGCGGCGAGTTTCCCGATCACGGCGACGTCGGATGCGGAGCACGAGAATGGCAGACAAACACCCAGGTGAATCAATCTTGTCTGAGAAATAAGAGAATAGACTTCCTTTATATTAAACTTCACATAAAATAATATACAATAAAAAAGTGTGCATTAGTTTATAGGAATTTATCGAAAAAGATATTTTATATATATATATATATATTTAACATTTTATAAAATTCATTATATTTTTAATATGATTTTTAATATTATTAGTATTATATATATAATTTGTAATATTGAAGGATACATTTCTTCGCGTGAAACATTTTGTATAAATAAATGTATTTTGTTAACATGAATTTCTTTCACATTTTAATAAAATAGGAAGACAAGTAGAAAAACATCGAATATTATTTTAATAAATAAATTACATAATATCGATGCTACTTACTGTTGTATATCGAGACGCGTTTATAGAAAGTCTCATCATGTAGAATCCTAGACGATAAGGAAGTTCATCGGAATCTGTTTGAGCCCACATACTGTTTCCGCTGAGGCCCGCATTAATTACTTTTCGTGGCTCGGCATTAAATTCTCGTACCTCTTCGATCGACGACTCTGTACCAATTTTGAGATTCTTTCGACTGTAATCTTGACCAATGTACTCACATTCAGTGGCTGATCCGATAAAGTATGAGTTTCCCCAAAAGAATCCATTGGTAAATCTGCCCGATGCATCGTCCACTGAAACGAGATGACAATAATTATTTTCGTATACTTTTCTATATTGTATGTATATTTCGAGTTTATTCGAGTTTATTTGGCAGAGACATAAAAAAATATATAAAATTTATTTATACTAAATATTTATACATGTCGCACAGAAGAGAAAAATATCATAGTAACAGTGTTTTCTTATTTTTTTATTCTTTTCATTATTCATGTTGTATCATTTTTTATGCAATTTTGATTGAGCTATATGTATTAAACGTGTTTTAGGAAGGAGAAATCAACCGCATGTTGGTCGAAAGAGCCATCGACATGAGAAGTAAGGTCACGAGTTCTGGAACACCTTGTAAGTGACGAAAGCGAATGCTGGAGAACACTTTCATCGGAGAGCTGTGACGATCGAGCCGGAAGTGGTCAGTCAGGTGAGTGCGGCGAAAGTACTTTTATACAAAGTAGGTCGACGACTCGTGAGAGAGTGAAAACGAGAATCTAGCCTCTGATTACGAGTCTGAGGGACGATGCATTGAGAATCTTAGATATGGAACTGATTCCACTTATTGAGAGATTGTTTTTAATCGAAAATTTCATATTCTATCGATTAATTACATTATTCTTATTACTAGAAAAAATGTATACATGTATGCTTAAAAAGTAGTATATTTTTTATCTTTTATAACTTGCACGAGAGATACGTATTTTGAAACGATCGATCAATTTTAAAAATTTCTAATTCTTTCATCAATCATTAAATCAATTAGAAGTTTTACATATAATTTTCCTAATTTTTTCTTATTTTGTTTAATCTTTATCAATTTCAACAATTGAATTCGGTTTTCAGTTTATAAATTTATTGCAACCCTACACACGTAGATACGCATACACTGTACTTTTCTATTTAATTGCAGTGAAAAGTTAGCTCATAATCATTTGTATAATTTTATTATAATTTATTTGCCTTTACTGATGTAAATCGTTCACAGATTAACCAACAGTGTCGGCTATTATCTAACATGATAACCGTAAACTTCGCTTAAATGTCAAGATATGGTGATTTCTATTTGATTAAATAACCGTACTGTGTAACTCTCATACGTATGCATTTAAAGAGAGCACGCAAGTGCGTTTTTTGCGTAAAGGTAGTATGATATCTCCTCGTTATCGTAACGTAGGTAATTTAAAGCGAGGGTTGGCGTGTCAGATCGTCGTCATCGGGGAGGCGTCACGACTGCTAGGCTTACGTCGGGAGGGCTTGCCTTCGACGAAGTATGCACTTTCTATTCGGGAAGTAAAAGATATTATTTAATCACGTCAGCATATGACGAAGGATTTAAGAATGTATTACATAGGCCTAGGCTTGACCGCGGATTCGTTACGTCACTTGCGGTTACGCACTTAAGGTTGCGGCCGACGTCACTGTTTTCATGCTCGTCCGTTTTTTGAAACGCATTTTGGGAATTTTTTAAGTTTTCGTCTGCTCCCGATCCTAATTTTAATTTACAGAAAAAGGTTTCATAAGATTCGGCTTAAGTTATTTAAGTTAGTTGCCTCTTTTGGAATCTCGAAGCTATAGGATAAGCTATTTGGATATTGATTGAATTTGCAAAATAAGGAATAATAATAAGAAATAACTACAAAAATTGTTAATTTAACTTTAAAATTAATACGTTTTTTAATAATTTATTAACTGTATTATTTTCATTTTTATGTGACAATTCTATTATTACTATTATGTTTTTTAGAATCCAAAAAATTTTTTCGGATAATCTCTTTTTATCATTTGATAGAAAGATTTTATTATTTGATAAAAATTCTTTTTTGAAAATTACTCAAATATTTTTTTTTTGTATTATGCAATTTTTTGTATTATGCATTAATAGAATGATCTTGTAAGTGTTCTACTAATCGATATTTCAACATTGAACTCCGTAGAATTTTTATAAATATTCTATTATAACTGGAATTTCGAGTTTATGGAGATAAATGCAAGTTAGGTTTTTTATCTTTATGATTGCATTACACAGTTTCAGATAAAAACTATTATAATTTACTTTAATCAACAAGCTTTGATTGTATCATCGTGATTTGTTGGTTTTAGTATTTTCTTAAGCGTTTCACAACGCATATAAATAGCATTTTTATTCATGTTTTTCTTATTCTGTTATTTAAAAAAACACTGCTGCAATTTACTTTCTGCTACATTAACTTTTATTTATCTTTTACTAGCTTACTTTCCAGAAGGATTGCATGTATGTTAATTATATGCCGATTGTAAAACTAAATCAATGCGAATAATTTACAGGAAAGAATGATTACGGTAAGCAACATAAGAATGATATAATTGCCATCAATGATTATAAAGTCATAATTATAGTATTTGCAGTATATGTAATGCACACATAATAGGTGAGAGATTTATGTGAAAAGATCTAATGAGATTTCCGTATTCGCATTCCAAATTGATTAGATATGCCTATATAAAGATGATGATGAGGATGATGAGATGATATCTATGTTTTTCTCTTCTCTCCCTTTTCTCTCTCTCTTCTATTTTTTCTTCTCTCTTCTTCTTCTCTCTCTTATATCACGATATTTATTAGTTTGCATTTTAAATTATTAATTTTAAATACATTTTTTTCTAATTTCAAAAAAAAAGAATATTTTATTTCGTAAAAACTCTATCAAGAAAAAATTTATTGATAAAGATTAGTTGTAACTCTCTTCGAATTTAAAAAAAAAAAAATTTCAAAGAAAAAGTAAAAAAGAAACATAGGTTTGAAAAATTTCATATTTCTTTCAAAAAAAAAAAAGACTTTTGCTTATCGATCATTGACATTTACTATTGTTAATGTTTGGTGATTTATGAATGATCTACGCGAGGACTCATAGTCAGATTAGAATGACTTTTAAATTGTAAGTTAGTTACAGTTCTATATTGTAAGTTTTTAAAGTCAAGTTCATGATCGGCACGATTCCAGTTGCTAGAAAATAAAAATAGTCAATGCACTCGATCTCATTGAACTTTGGAATCTTATAATAGCACTATTTTATATTCCATTCATACACGTGCTGTAACACCATATCGCGGTTAAAATCTTGTCGTAACATAATTCTAGAGAACAAGTAATCGTAAACAATACTTAATCTCAATTTAGCATAAAACTTTTTTTTTAGTTAAAAATTTAATGTGTGTGTGTGTGTGTGTGTTATATTTTATTATATATAAACATCTTGAGAATATAATCTTTATATTATATTTTTTTATATTTTTGATTACTCATCAATATAGATAAAGTGTGTTGTATATTGTTATATTTCTCGGTAAACAAAGAACAATTGGTAATTGCTAAAAACTTAAAGAAGATCAAGAATTTGGCGATATGTGCTATTTAAAAAAAAATACGTGTACAATAAATAATCCGAAAGTGTCTGTTTCATATATAATTCTCTTGCCTTACTTCTCGAAACTTTATCGCGATGTTCATGAACGCTAAATTTATGTTGGATTAACAGTAAGCAAAATTTTATTTTATAATATAATTATCTATTAATAGAATTAGAATTGCGATATTTTGCAGATGAAAAAATCAGTTTTTATTTTGAAAATTTGAAAATAAAATAGCAGGTTATTCGATGCATGAAGTAATGAAATAATTTAGCAATTGCAAAATTGGCTTTACGGTTGTCTGCTAGAAATGTTGTAGCTATTTTATTCATTATATTCATTATTTGCACAAAATGTTTTACGATGATATCTTAATTGGCTGTTTTCAAACTCTGAGTATTAACTATCCACGGACATGGTTGAGAAATTCTCGATATTTACTTTAATTGTATTTTGATTTGACAGTTTTATATACACTCGTTAAAATTGTTTGACAGCAATTTCCTGTCGTGATTGCAGTAAATTTCACGTACATTTGAAAGAAAAGGTCCAAGCAGGAAATGCGCTAACACTCGACGATATTGAAGGCTAAAAAAAATAGTGATCTTACCAAAAAGGTAATATTATTTTGCACTTTTTACGCAGCGTTATTTTTTCAAGACGAGTCTTGAGAAACTTTAGGATTGCATTACTATTGTTTCGAATTTATAATAATCAATAACGATTAATAATTAAGTACAGAATACGCGTAAAATATATATCTTTTGTTCATAATTCTAAATATAACTAGCTTCTTGCATCAGTGTATTTTTTTCAATTATGCAAACTTATTGTTTATTTCTTTATTTTGTTACGTAGATCTATTTGTATACGTAGTGCGTATATAAGTGGGAGAAAGTGTGAATTCGAAGATAGAAAGAAACGCGTTTGCATACTGATTGAAGTTAATGTGTTGCAATACTACTATCTAACCATCTGGCATTGGACGATATTAATGTCCGTCTGACATTGGTTTGCTTTTTTCAATTGACGCGGAGGTCGCGTTAGCGAGAGTATAAACGTCCTTGACTAACAATATGAAAGTGGAGCGTATACGAATTTCTTTGCCGCGCGATATGCTGGTGAAAGTGCCTGGTCTATATAGATCAGAATTCATAATTTTGTCCAGTAATCTAAACTTTTGACATTTGGATTTGGAATAATTCGGCTGTTTTCTTAATTTAGTCTCTTCTCTCGATTTTTTCATATGAGAATATATCTCTCTTAAATATGACATATATTGCTAAAGGACAAATTTATGGTTGCTTTAATTAGATGTATAATTCATTTTTACGTTGTCAAATAAAATCTCTCGCAATTTATTTACGAAATATTGCAACTGACTTTTTATACAATCATAGACCACTTTGTCACGTGTCTGATAATATTAGCTTAACTGACTTAACGGTCATTGACGTAGCAATAATATTCTCCTCTTAAACTCCCAGTTACAAGACATCATTTGACTTATTTTTATTCTAAAATACTAACTGAATAGGAATGTTATTGAAATATTGTAAAGTAATGTCAAATCAAAAGATCAACATTACTGATTATTAAAAAATAAATTTTCAATAAATTTTGGATTAATTAG